AGTGCGGGGGCAAGAACCTGATGCTGGAAGGATCCTCACAAAGGGGATGCCCTGGCCTTGCTAGTGGTGAGGAGATTCTAGACATCAGGCAGCTGCAGGGAACCCGGGAGAAAAAGAGGCCTTAGCAGATTCAGTGGGGCTCAGTGAGCAGGGCAGGGCAAGGATAGCAGATTGAAGTCCAAGGCCTGAGCATGGGAACCAAGGGCTTGGTTCACATGTGAAGAGATTTTCTGAATGAAGGAGGGCAACTGACAGTGAACTCTGGACATCTGAAGAGCCTTGATGTGATTGCTGAAGAAATTTAAAAAGAGACTTCCATCCTCATCCCAGATACTCTGCAGAGCAAGAGCCTTGTGTGACTTTTCTGAGTCTCCTGTGATAAGGGCCACTTCACCAAGACCCCCAGGGCCCACTTTAAGGAGAGGTAAGTGAAGAACTGGTTTGACCTGGATTCACTGAGGACTTGGAACTAGAATAGCTGGATGATTCTGAAAAAGAAAATGGGGTATGGGAAGGAGCAGTGCAGGTGAAAAGCGTTCACTCCTCCTATGCTAAAAAAACAAATTTTTATGGAGCTCTAACAATTAAGGGTAAAAAACAGGCAAAGAGCCTAAACAGGCAATTAATTGAAAGCAAGTGAAAATAGCCGATACAGAAAAAGATGTTCGACCTTAATCATAATAAAAATAAGAATTAAGTCAATGCTGTAATACTATTTTTCCTATCAGATTAACAATACTAAAAATGTTTGATATAGCAGAGTATTGACAGGTAGGAAATGTGCTTTTGAACTAAATGAATAATTACAACCTCTTTGGAGGGAAATTTTTCTCATATCTGCAAAAATGTACAATATATAAATCCTTTCAACATAGTATATAGTACATAAAGTCACTAAGAAGAAAAACGTAGCTCTATGTGTTGATATGGAGGCTTTCACACACGGGCACAAAACTACATATAATACATATGTATTAGATAAAGAAAAAATACACAATACACATAAATATATATAGCATATATATATGTATGTATATATATATATATATATATATATATATATATATATATATATAGTTTATAGCATATCTTTAGAACTGTGGGAGTTTTTCCTATTTGCATATATTTCCATGTATCGCTTGTACCCTTTTGAAAATTTTTGAATCTTAAAACTTGCAATTTTTTCCTTGTGCTCACTTTATCTCCATGACATGCCAGGGGTTTATAAACAATAAAAAGGAGAGGTAGAGAATTACATAATGGCTTGTCCGAGTCTGAAAAGCACCCATAGTTTCCCATTCCTGGGCCTGAGTGCTGAACAAGTGTTAAAGAAACGTTCCTACGACCCTGGCAAAGCCCCAGCTTCCCCCATGGGAAGTGAATCTCGGGGCCCAATGCATAGGGCTCCTTTTCCTCGCCTGGGCTGCTTGTGGTTCACACAGGTTGACCTATGTTCTGTAAATGTTAGAAACGTCATCTCTATGATCCTGTCTTTACTTGTCTGAGGTGTGTTCTGCAGACTGGTATCTCACCCATGCTTTTGTTTTAAAAAATTTTCTTTGTCTAGAGCAATCTGATTGTATGGCCTGGGCTGAGAAGGGAATGGGGTGCACTGACAGGAACAAAAGGGGGCTCAAAACCATAGCTAGACACTGTGCTGTCCAATGTGGAGGTAATGGAGGAGACAGGGGTGTGTGTCTGGGGTTATGGGCTCCCTCCACCATGCTTTCAGAGGACACTGCGGGGTGGGAGGAGGGCAGGGGTTCTCAACACAGCTGACTTGAGGGTGGGCTCTTGCCAGACATGTAGGGACAGCCCAGCCTTCAACAAAGATGGCATTGGCTGGCTTATGAGAGGCCAGCATTGCAGGTCCAACCCTGGCTTCTCCTCCCCAGCCACCTCTTCCCTCAGCTCAACACTGCAGGCCCTGAACCTGCACTCCCTCTGAGCCCCAGCCTCCTCGGCAGACACAGCCATGTTCTCTCATGACCTACAGATCACTTGGTCAGCAACGTGGCTGAAATTATTCACTCTCTGAACCCCATTTTTTGGTGAAAGTGTTACTTCAGAACTAGGGTCATTTAATTAATCTACCAAATATGTCAAGAAGTGAAAACGAGGCCTGTAATCTGCTCAGTTTCTCCTAAGCTGTCATGGCCTTTGGTTTATTGAATGGTTCTTGAGGGCCATGTCCTAGGTTAGGCTCTGGGGATTTGAGGATGAGTAAAATACAACCATAGCCACCTTCAGGGACTCAAAGTCCAGAGGGGAAAGTTAAAAGTAAGCGGGAAACAGACATCAGGTCTGCAGCCAGGAACACAGGTGATGAGAGAACACCTGACTCAGGTAGAAGACTTCAGAAACCACCTAAGGGAGCACACACAGCCTGCCTGCACACACAAGGGACAGTTTGATCAAGGAGCAAGCTCAACAGCCTTGACCTCCCCCAGTCCAAGGAGAAAGCTGCTGCGGCCTGGTTTGCTATGGAAGGTTGTGAAGATGCCCAGTCAAGAAACAAGAGGGTTACCTTCCACAGGGCCTGTGAGCATTGGCTGCCGTGCCAGTGTGACAGAGGGACCCTCCTGATCAACTGGCATCTCAGCACCTCCTTAACCTCCCTCCTTCATGCTCATTTGATCTCTTCCTTTCCTTTCCTTTCTCTTGATCTCTCTGCTTCTCGACTGTCTTAATGCTGTTACGCTCTTTTTCCTTTCCCTTTTGGCACGTGTCCCTCTTGGTCACACACACAGTATCTCCACCTATCCACCTGTCCATTTTGATTTCCAATATAGCACTTTTAAAAGAACAGAAAACATTGATTCAATGTGTATTGTCACCGTTGATAACACACTCAGTTAAAGTGGGAAGGAAGAGAAATAGATGGGAAATAGAGAATGGTCTGCAACAGATAGCTGTGAAGAGAAAAATGGAGGCAGACAAAGGCCCTGCTATTAAATTATTACCAGCTTATTTCCTGCGCATGGCGTCTAGAATGCTGCCCACACATGAAGATGGAACTGGATTAGCTTTATCCTGACCCCAACTCTGCTACCTGGATCAGTATTTCTGAACTCTTTTTTAAGTGCTTTTATTAGTGCATTGTAGTTATACCTAATAGTGGGTTCTTTTCAACATAATAGTGCATGCATGGAATATAATTTGCTCCATTTCAGTCCCCTTCTGAGTATTTTTAGTCTGTGCCTGAGGCTTCTAGGCTTGCTGAAAGATGAGGTTCCAAAAAGAGTTTGAAGGCAGTTTGCTACTAGTTCTCCCACCTTGAGTTTCAAACCAACACAACCAAACAGATGCTTCCTGGCCCTGTAGTAGGCATGGAGCTGCTAAACAGGAGCAAATTGGCTGCCAAGTCCACCTCTATAGCTCACCCAAGAACCTTCAGGGACACCTCCCATCTTCTCTCCAAAGTAGCTCCATTGCAGCCCTGTCCCCTCCTCTTCCATTGTCCCATACAACCATTCACCAATAATAAAATCACCAGAGAAAAAGCAATTGCAAAAGGTCAGACCTTGTGCAGAGATTGTCTCATTTAGCTTTCACAGTGTTCCTATTTGGTAAGGATAATCTCCAATTACAGGTAAAGAAAAGTTACTTCCTCAGAGTCAAACAACCATGAAGAAACAGAACCAGGGTTCCAATCAGTTTGTCCTGACCCAGAGCCTGTTCCCTCTTGCTTGACCTGAGCTCCCCTGAGTAGCGATACAGCAATACTCATTGAGCATCTGTGGTATACAGAGCACAGTGAGAAGCGTGTTAAAAGAGGCAGGAAATCATATCCACACTTTGAGGAAGCAAATGATTGAAGCAGGAGAAAGCCCATGGGAAGCCAAGCAGCACCTTGAAAAGCCCCTGGGTGCAAGGAGAGAACACAGTCACATCACCATGTGGACTTTGGAGCAGGTAAAAGGTGTTGCAGAGGAATGAAGTGTTGCAAGAGAGAGAGGAACCATGGGAGGGCTCCTGGAAGATGTGAAGAATAGAAGTAACCCAAGGGGACAGGCATGGTGGCCCGCACCTGTAATCCCAATGACTCCAGAGGCTAAGGCAAGAGGATCGCAAGTTCAAAGCCAGCCTCAGCAATTTAGCAAGGCCCTAAGCAACTTAGCAATATACCCTGTCTCAAAATAAAAGACAAAAAAGGACTGGGTGTGTGGCTCAGTTGTTAAGCCCTCTGGGTTCAATCCTCAGTACCCCTACCCCCCAAAAAAACAGAAATAACCGAAGGGTTGTATAAGCAACCCCAGGCAGAGGAACAACACATTCTAAAGCTAAGGGATGAGAGAAACATCTTGTGAAGAAGACTAAAAAGCAGTCTGCTTTCAGAAGCATAAGGAGGGGCTCTTTCTGAAGGTGTTGCCCTGGTAGGTGGGGTGGGGAGGGGCAGTGTATGTGTCAGTTTGCTATATAAAGCAAGTGGGAACCATGGGCTGATTCTTTACCAGGGGAAAGATACAACACAAATGGCATCTGAGGGAGGTTGCTCTAAGGGGAGCACAGAAACTAATTATCATAATCCAGCCAGGGACGTGTGACAAACCCGAACTTGAGTTAGGTCAGTGGCATTAGAAAGGACATCACAATCTCAGTGACAAAATCGTTATTAGATTGTAAACTTTAATTTTTAACATTAAATATAACTTGGGAAAATGCACATTTTTAAGATAAAAATGAATATTAATTAAATTTTGCTTTCTTATAGTCACCCTGGCTTGTGCAAGGTGAAGAAGATTATAACGCAGGTTTTAGAAAATGAGTCAACCAAGGGAAGTTTCAATTTTTGTGACCTGAGAAAGTGCCCTGTTTACCAATCATTCCCATTATGATAGTAGGGGTTTTTTCCTCCCTCTTTTAAATTCACTTTGGGAGAGGCTAAGAAAGGGTTTTTAGGGGACCTCCCAACAGTTAGTATTGCGTATGTAGACAATTTAAGAAATAAACTCTCTGACTAAGATAAGTTCCACCCAAGGCCCGAGCCCCCAACATACCTGAACTTCCAACGCTGAGCCACAAAAGAGGTCCCCACAACCAGAAGCTTCTCGCCCAGAGGTCTGGGGGCATCGCTGAGCCTGGAGTCTCAGTGCTAGTATGAAGCAGACCCCTAATGTCAGACAGAGCACACAGGCCGGCCTACCACCAACACCCGCTTGGGGCTCACTAATCATTAACTGGCCTCATAAGCCATAAAAGAAAAATAAACTCTTCCTATTTGTTTAACCTCCAGAGTTTTCCATTTCTTCTTCTCAATAAAAACAAATACCCTTTACTCCCCACCCAAAAAAAAAAAAAACCAAGGAGACATTGAAACACACTGTTCTTCCTCCCTGAATCAAACACGATCAGGAAACCATTTCCTGAACCTCTCCCATTTCCCATTACAAAATGTCAGTAATGACCAGGGTTGAAGCCTTTCATCTCTAGGTGGTCACAATAGTCTTGCTATACTGAAATTGTCTGTGGTCATGTTTTTCTCCCCGGGAAGACTGAGCAACTTGAAGGTGAAGACCTTCTCTTTCACTTTTGAATCCCCAAGGCCTAGCACAGAATGGCACCAATGAGACGCATTAAGTGTGCATTTATTGGACAGAATGAAAGACAATGAAATTCGCTTCTGGAGAGTACAACCTTCCTAGCATCTTGGGGCTAGAAGTAAGATTCAACCTCAAAGAAGAGATGTACAACTTCCTGGATTCACAAATACAGAAATAGAAGAATAGAAGAAGAAAAAGTCCACGCTGTTGGTGAAAGTCACAGAGCGGGGGCCCGGAACCAGGGTGGGTCCAGTGTACCATGTGGCCACTTCACCCAAAGGAGTGGCAGAAACCACAGGAAGCTATTTGTAGGCAGGTGAAAGAGGGAGGGCAGGGCACTTGCCTGGGCAGCACTCCCTAAATTGTAAGCCATCACTGCAAGGCAGACCTCCCCGCAGCAGGGCCAGGATTGTCCTTTCTGCCCAATAACTCTGTGGGATGAATTCTGTCTACACACGTGTGTTCCATAGCCGTCAGGCATGGAGAAGTTAAGTAACTTGTACGCGGTCATGCAGAGCTGGGATTTCAAGCAGAACCAGTTAGCCTCAGAACCCCACACTCTGAAGCTCTGCTGGTATCACCGACCCCAAAGAGGCATTGGTGCTGCACCATCAGGGCTGAAGTCAGCCCTTGCTTTCCCTTGTGCACATGATCCCACTGTTTCAGCACTGCTGCCATCAGGAAAGAGCACAGCAATAAGCAGGGCATGTTGAAGGCAGCTCTGATGGCAGAGACCAGGCCAGATATATTAGTTCAGGTCCTGGGAGAAGACTCTAGGGTGTGACTAGATGTGCAAGAAGTTTATTGGGCCAATACTGTGAAGAATAAGGGATGTTGAAGAAGGTGGTGACAGCCTTCAGATTGGAATGCCGTTCTGACACTTATGAAAGAAAGTGGGAAGAAAAGAAGACAACCTAGAAACAGCCATGGACTGTAGCACAGTTCCTAGAACATGCTTCCCAGGCCAACGGGGAGTCCTTAAGTCAAAGTCTCCTGCTAAAGCAGTCCCGTGTCTTGTAGAAATGGGCCTGTATTGGCAGCCACGCCCTGGTCAGCCATTAGTCAGGGTCAGCCCAGCAGAAAGTGACTCTGCCTCTAAACCTATCTCAGGAAATAATTTTAGGCCTCACCAGCTTTGACTGCAAAATGAGTTCACATCAATTTTTAAAGTGTTTATCCTTATAGTTCTACACACATATGCTTTTTAAAAAATCAGATAGTATGAAAGCATATGGCAAAAAATAAATCTCCATGCACCTCCACTTGCCAGTTCCCTAGCACTATAGAAGGCAGTCATTATCATTTTCTTGCACGTCCTTCTAGAATATTCTATCTCATCCTTTTTCTGAATTTCACACATTTTTGGCCTATTATACAAACTTTTCTGAACCTTGTTTTTCACACTAAACAAGATATTTTGGAGTTGCCTCAGTCTTTAAGGTTGCATAGAATCTCAGTACATAGAACGTGTCACGAAATTTTAGTGCTCAACTCACAATGGCTCAAGCTCCAATCCTAGGATTGGAGCTTGAGCCATTGTGAGTTGAGCACTAAAATTGGGATTTTATTTAATTAATTTATTAATCCTGGGATTTTTTTCATAGAGTCCAATCTTTTGCCAGATTCCTTTCCAATGGGAGGTGAATAGAATGAATTTGGAGCCTCCATTCCTGGTGTCCCATATGTACTATGTGTAAGCACATGCACATGTGCACATGCAGGCACACATGCACTTACAAATACATGCTCCGCTCAGAAAAAGTCATAATATACAAGCATAGTACAGGACAGTTCTCTAGTGGCCTTGAATCAACCCAGTTTCCCCCACTTCTTGTTTGTAGTTCTCAAGATTAACTGCAGAATGTGCTGGGAACGCAGTATCCTGAAATAGTGGAGAACTGGCTGGAACAACCTGAGCCCTCTTCCATTCCTCCCCCTTCCCAGAATCAGGATGTCCTTCAATGCTTTAGCCCAGCAAATCATGTGTCCCTAGGGTGTAAAACCAGGGCAGGCTGCTCTCTGGGGCTCCTCAGCTGTGACGCAGTTGGAGCAGATGCAAATGAAACTCCATCTGCCTGGGCAGCATTCCTGAGCCTTGGGGAAGTGGTTGCCAATGAATCTCTGCTTCCTGGCCATGAGTAACAAGCCTGCTTCCTGTAACTGGTGTATACACGGGTGTGCTGTCTCACCAGACTCTGACAAGTTGGTAAACAGTAGGCAGTGAAACTGCTTCACATATAGAACAAGCTAAATTCTTATGGAGAAAGAAAGCGTTTCCTGCCCCTTTTACTCCAGACTACATCATTCTAACTTTCTTTTTTTCCTACTGGGCATGGAATTCAGCAGCTCATGCATGCTAAGCAAGAGCTCTACCATTGAGCTACAACCTCAGTCTCTAGCCTTTATTTTAAAACAGCTATATTTCTGTCTGTTCTCAGAAAGGTGGAGTCTTACATTTATTCAGACAAAAGACCACTGTGGTTTTGCCCTAACAGAGAATTTTTGTGTCCCCAAGTTTTTTTTTTTTCAGTTTTCAGTGGACACAACATCTGTATTTTATTTTTATATGGTGCTGAGGATGGAACCCAGCGCCCCGTGCATGCCAGGCGAGCGCGTTACTGCTTGAACCACATCCCCAGCCCCTGTGTCCCCAAGTATTGAAGAGAGATTGAAAATTGTTGGCAGCTTTGAAATGAGAGAGTTGATGCTAAAATTCTACCGTTTAGAGGCTGGGGTTGTGGCTCAGTGGTAGAGTGCTCACCTAGCATGTGCAAGGCACTGGGTTCGATCCTCAACACCACATAAAAATAAATAAATTGGGGCTGGGGGTGTGGCTCAGTTGGTAGAGTGCTTGCTTAGCATGTGTGAGGCACTGGGTTCGATTCCCAGCACCACATATAAGTAAATAAATAAAGGTCAATCAATAACTAAAAAAAATTAAAAAAAATAAATAAATAAATAAATTTAAAAAACATATTTTGTCAAACTACTACTAAAAATATATTTTTTTTAATTCTGTGATTTAGTGTTTGTTCCTGGAGAGCGCCTAACTTCAAAGAAAAATTATTTGTGAGCTTCTGGGTATATCACACATTCTGGGACATGTGGTGCTGCAAGCCAGTGTCACAAGAAAATTGAAGGGAGAGAAAACCCTGTGGGTTGTGTCAGAAGTTTCCCAAATAGTAGAAGAAACTGGCTGGAAGTGATGTGTCTGGGGATTTCCCTGGGTCTCCCATTTCATGACAGGCTGGCAGAAAGAAGACTCTGTATACATTTTTTTAAAAGATATCAGTAATATGTAGGTAGTGTGTGCTGACATGTTCCATTTGTGAGTGTTTAGCATGGGCCAGATACTATTTGCAAAACATACAATCCCATAAAGTAGATGCTACTATTAGCCTCATTTTACACATGTGGGAAGAGGCAGAGCCAGGTTTGATAGCTTCCCAAGACTACAAAAAAATGACAGGGCAAGAATTTTATTCTAAAACACTACACTAGTCTCATTTTTAGGACATTGTCAAGGGAAGCATCATTAGCCCCAACTGAGGTTAGTCCTCGTAATCTGAGACTCAGTGGGGCCAATAGCATGTTTGGTAGCAAAACACATTTCAAAGAAGCTCTCTGAAAAATATCACAGAGCAAGCCTCAAGCAGGCTTGTTACTCATGGCCAGGAAGCAGAGATTCACAGTCATCCCCATATTCCTGCAGTAGGGAGCAAATGTACACGTTTGGAGAGTGCCCCCTTTCCAAGTCCCCTGGATTTGGGCTTGGTGCAGTAGAAATGCCAGAAAGGCCACATCATTTCAAATGTCACCTCTACTGAACAGTCTCCATGGACATCATCCTGCTGGGTATCTCAGTGGTAGAGTGCTTGCCTGGCATACATGAGGCTCTGGGTTTCATCCTCAGCACTGCAAATAAAAATAAAATCATCTTGCTGGAAATTCCTTGTTTGCTCAAAGTCATGTTTTCCAATTTCATTTTTTCAGATCTCACCTTCCCTGTTCCTGCCATACCTATCCACTTATCACCCATACTAATACAGACTAGATGTTTTATTGAAATATGTTTCAATAAATGTATCTCAGAAGGCAGATTTACAGGAAGACAACACAAGCAGCCTCGGAAGTGTGTGGGCAGGTGGAATGTGTCACCTTTGCCTTCTGGCATTGGCCATGAGGGAAGACTGATCATAGCCCAGACAAAATTATGGGAAACGCTGGTTTGAGGCATGATCTTTTATTAACAATACAAACTTCAGTGGGTAGAGGGGGAGACACCCAAGGATTCTTTCTTTGATTCTGTCCCCAGCTTCACACAAACCCATTTCAGACTCACATTCTTTGGGTATCAGAGTCTAAACCCAGAGACCCTGAAAGGTCACTCAGATAGTATACACGATGACAATAAGGCCTAGAAAGGGGAAGTGGGAGCTTTGGCAAGGGGGGGGCGGTGGGCAGCTGTAACCAAACATGACACAGAGACAGAAGTGGGTATTATGGTCCAAGCATTGGGCAGGGGCTTCTCAATGGCCAGAGGATGGAATGAGGGCAGGGGCAGAGGAGGCCCTCTGAGGAGGGAGAGTGCTGGAGCGTGAGGACACTGCCCATCTCACAACTGCACCTGAACTCT